GGGGTGAATAGATCACCTCTTACTTTTTCAAGGATTTAAAATTGTTTTATCAAAGCGAGTTGAAAGCAGCGAAAATCAATGTCCTGAATCAATTCCGTCTACTTTGAACCGACTACTAGAAAACTTGACATGTAAAAAATTTGCTGGATTTTTATTAAATGAAATGGATGAATGTACAACTCAAAAATCTTGACGTTTCAATGCACTTATCATAAAACAGTATTTCCAATGAATTTAGAAATTTGATAGGAATTTTGTCAAACACTTGGTGTATGCTTGTATAATTATTTAATAGTGGTGGTTTGATGAAAATGTTTGATCCACTATGTTTATCATTAGACTGTAAAACTTAGCACGCCAATTGAATTGCAAAATTATAGAATATGTAAAATTATAAAGAGAAAGAAAGAGAGAACGATACGCAGGCAGTTTGGTAAGGAAATTCCCCACTGTCGTCCTCGCGTGTGGGTACATCTCCCTCTCAATTTCACAATCGAAACTGAGAACTTTTATATCAATATGCTGAATGTTTGATAGCAAGGTTACACTACACAGAAAGAAAGAAATCCATATGATCTTCTTCTTCTTGTAAGAACCACCACTTGATATGAGTTGTATCAAGATTTCCTGCAAAGTCACTGAATGATCCTCCGCTTCCACGACCTGTTTGTTCAAAATCCTTCCGATTTTCAAACCCCTCGCTACGGCTGAATCCGACTCGCACAACCGTGCCTGACAAAACCCTCAAGAACACACCTGTTCTTGAAGGACAAACCCTCTGGTTTATTTCTTGAAGCTTCCTCTTCAACCTTCAACTCAGCTAGACTTCTTCAATACACAACTGAACGTTATCTCAAACCGCTTGATTCAATTCAACAAGGATGTTTGATTTTCTTTGTTGTTGTTGAATGTAAGATGATTGAAAAGATGATGAAGATGAAGGAATGAAAAGCTTCTGGTTGCTCACAATTGTTTTGCACACAATCTTCTATGTTGCTATGTTTTTTCTGAAGAAATGCTTGCTTATATTTATAACAAAAAACGGTTAGTAAAAAAGAAAGTGATATGAGTCGATGCATGTTGGTCATGTGTCGACTCATGTTAGTTATATGTAACAGGATGAGTCGATACGTTATGTTTTGAGTCGATACAAAATCATGTTGTAGCATTTTACAGAACCAACACTTTTATACCCGTCGACACATAATGCGTATGTCTCGATACATACTGATTGTAAATTTAACTTTTGAATTTAAAATATAGTATGAGTCGACATATGATATTATGTATCGATACATATAAGTTTCAAAATGTTTTCCAGGATCATCAGAATATTTTGTATCGATACATGAGGTTTTGTGTCGATGCATATAAGTTCAAGAATGTATTACAGAGGCACCAAAATATTATGTATCGATGCACGAGGTTTTGTGTCGATTCATACAAGTATTACGGGGACATCAAAATATTATGTGTCGATGCATGAAATTTATGTATCGATGCATGCAGTTTTTAGATTTACATTCCAGGATCATCAAAGAGTTATGTATCGACTCATAAGCTTTTGTATCGATACATAATAGTTTTGAGATACAATTCCAGGGACTTCAGAAAGCTATGTATCGATACAAAACTTGATGTGTCGACTCATAATGATGCATTATGAGAGAAATGTAATTTTGGCTTATTCAAACATGTTATATTATATTTTTATAGTGCACACATGTATTTAGTGTTTCATATATATATATGCAATCATTCAAAATCAATCTATGAATGAGTTGCTCACAGATATGACTATTATTATGATCATCAAACGAATTTCAAATTGTAAGTATGAAAAAAATAAAATGGTTGGACTCACGTGGCTAGTAAAATTTAATTGTTAAAAGAATTTGAGTTCAAATCTTGATTGAAATAATATTTAGGTTTAATACATGTTTTAATTCCTTAACTTAATTTAATGTTCCATTTTATTCCCTCAATTAAAAAATGTTACAAGTTAGTTACTTAACTTCACTTTTATTATTCTATTTGGTCTCCCATCAATTTTTGGCAAAAAAAAAAGTTAAAATCTGGTGTCATAGATGTACAGTAAGGTTCAAGGTTCAAATGTGACTCAGTATTTATACTATAAAGTACGGTTTCCACTTAATATAACTTTATTCTGAACATCTTTATGGCACCTAATTAAGTGCAAATCCTACTTTGTAATACAAATATATAGTCACATTTAGACTTCGAGTCTTGTTGTAAATCCACGTTATTGAAACTTAACGTTTTTTTTCTTCAAAAATTGACATAATAGACCAAATAAGATAACCAAAGTAAAGTTAAGGAACTAATTTGTAATATTTTTTAATTAAGAGATTAAAACAAAACATTAAACTAATTTAAGAGAGTTGAAGACTAATATTTAAAAAAATTTAGGTTACTCCTAAACCGAATTCTAAATTATTGAATTTATTTTCCTTAAGAATAAAAGGATTAAGAAAACAATAAATTTGAGTAAAAAGTTTATGAGTTAGCACATTCACCTGCCAGGTTAACAACTTAAAAAGTGAATAACTTAAAACTATTATAGCCTTTGAAATGTTATGAGCACCATAGAAAAAAGATAGTGTTTGAATTAATAAAATTAGGCGGAGAAAGCAATATTTGTCACACATTGCGTAGTAATTTCCCAAATAATATCCAATCTTTTTCGCTTCTGACGAGTTAAACCACTTTACCACCACCAAATTTGGTCAACCAACATTAGTCTAGTTCTTCAACTCAACTAAACTTGAACAAATCGTATCTCATGATTCAAACTTTAGAAAATTAAAACTCATTTTCTATACAATTTCCATTTGACAAATCAGTTACCACACCACCAACGACCCAAAACATCAAACAAAATTAAACCCCAAATATATTATATAGTTTGATTAAAAACAGAAACCTAATTAGTTTACCCACCTTCACACTTCTAAAGTCAGAATCTCCCATCAAAAGGGTCAGAATCTTCTTATCTTTGTATCATCCTAATTAACTTCTCTCCTTGTCTTCGATCATACCAAAGACTATCTCATACGCATGTATATATAATATGATTCCAAATTGATAATTATCATAATTTCAATATATAAGTTCTATACTATATTATATACTATCATTCATTTAATTGTTATAAGCTTCATAATTGATCTTCACCTGAAAAAAGAAACATAACTAACTAATCGTTATGTTTCCGTTTTTCAGTTACTTTAACTTTTTCTTCTTCTTTCTCGCTCTCTTTCTTTGGCGCCCATGCTTTACCGTTACCGCGAGGATTATACCAGAATCTGTAACCGTAATAACAACTTCTCAAAAACACAACGCCACGTGGCACAACTTCTCGAGTTTTCTTCACGCGGAACGAGGCAGCCACGTCAGCGGCATGGCGGAGCTGAAGAAGTATTTCCATCGCTTCGGTTACCTTACTCAGCCGAACACGACGTCGAATTCGAATTTCACGGACAAGTTTGATTCGAACTTCGAGTCCGCCGTGTTGCTTTATCAGAAACAGCTCGGTTTGCCGTTAACTGGAAAACTCGACTCTGAAACTATATCAACGATTGAGTCTCCGAGATGCGGTGTTTCGGACACCGCGACGCGTAGAATACATACCTCACGTCACTTTGCTTACTTTAACGGGAAACCGCGGTGGCTTCGTGGCTCTCCGATGACTCTAAGTTATGCTTTCTCACCGTATGATATGATCGATACGCTGAGTTTATCGGACATCCGAACGGTTTTCGAACGTTCTTTTAAGCGGTGGGCGTCGGTGATTCCGGTGAGTTTTCGTGAGACGGAGAAGTATCAATCGGCGGATATTAGAATCGGATTTTATTTCGGTGATCACGGTGACGGAGAACCGTTTGACGGTGTTTTGGGGGTTTTAGCGCATGCTTTCTCTCCTCAGAATGGAAGATTTCATTTAGATGCAGCAGAGAATTGGGCCGTTGATTTTGATCATGATGATTCAAGGATAGCCGTTGATTTGGAATCAGTTGTGACGCACGAGATAGGGCACGTGCTTGGGCTTGGGCATTCATCTATAAAAGAAGCGGTTATGTACCCAAATATAAGCCCAAGGAAGAAAAAAGTTGACTTGAAAATTGATGACGTGGAGGGAGTTCAATCTCTTTATGGTTCTAATCCAAACTTTAGTTTAAGTGCTTTGTTGCAATCTGAGAATTCTTATAATCTTGCGGTTCGGTTAGAAACCGGTTTCTCTAAATGGATATTCTCTTTAGCAGTTACGTTGTTCATATTATTTTTGAGTACTTGAATAGTTAACTCTCATTCATGTATTTTCATTCTTTGATCTTATGTGTGTATGTAAAAAGAAAGAATAGAAAGGATAGAAAGCAAAGTTGAATCACATGGGCTAACCCCTAATGATTCTTAGTTTTTATGATATTTTAAGATGTTTCTCTTTTTATTTTTGGGTTATACAACTTTACAATACATATTTTTTTAGGGGAAAGGTGAATGAACTTTAACTGGATTTGAGAGTTGTGACAAGTGACAACACTCATAGAAAAGAAGGTAACAAAAAAATGTTTTTTGAAAAGGAATATCAATGAAAAGATTCGAATTGCTGTTGTAAGTTGGTGCATAAAGGCTAGAATATCATTCCTAAAGTATATGCCTAACACATAGTGGGAGGAAGCAAATAAGGCATTTCTTTGTACTGAAGAAAATCATGTACGGACCTATATCAATATCATACATGTGGCATTTATCTCCCATGTTGGATGGGGACAAATGAAACTGATTTTTTCTGTCCCAAGTGTGCTCCAAACCTTAAAGCTGCTTTATACACGTATGATGGATATAGTTCGGTATCAGTCGTTGTGATAGTTTATCAATAGAATACGGAATGAGGTAATTACTAGTTAGAGAGACACTTCCTCACTCAAGTTTGTTTAAGGGGCAAATAAGTGAACAAATGACTCAATATTTAAGATTAGTCACACTCTTCTTTCATATCGGACAAAGCTATCTATTTCTATCCAGCTAGAACCTGCTTCTTTCCTAACCCTTTTCTTACTCATGAAGCTTCTAATTACATTAACATCTTCCCATCTTCCAAAAGATGCATACATATTAGACAACATCACATACACATAATCTTCATCTCTCTCCAATTCAATCACCTTAGCAGCGGCAACTTCTGCTACTTGTAAATCTTCCTGAGTTCCACAAGCACCTAGCAAAGACCTCCAAACTACTCCACATGACTCGAAACCAAGCTCATGTATCATCCTCTGTGCTCTCCACAACTCGTCTTTTTGCCCCATGAGCCGTATCATTGAACAACAATGCTCAATGGAGGGTGCAATCTCATATTCATTTATCATAGCGTCGAAGTAACTAATAGCAGACTCAAATGGTACTTGGCTATGGGAACATGCTGATATAAGGTTAAGAAATGTGATGCCGTCAGGTTTTGTATCTCTTTCCATTTTCAGCAACTCGAAGAGACTGATAACTTGTGCAAAATCACCGTTGCGAGCATACCCAGATATCATTGCATTCCAGCATACCAGATTCCTATCAGAAAGCACGTTGAATATTGATTCCGCATCGTTCCCCCGCCCACATTTTGAGTACATGTCGATCAGGGCAGTCCCTACAACAACCGATGAATCTAAACCGTACTTTACTGTACAACAATGAATCAGCATCCCCCATGTTAAAGCTGGCAGACCAGCAATTCCATTTAAAATTATAGAAAATGTGAACTCATCCATCGGCAAGTTTCTCAACTGCATTTTACCAAACATATCCAAAGCTTCAGAAACTCGATTCCTATTCACAAATCCAGTAATTAAGGAGTTCCAAGAAGATGAATTTGGACATGGCATAGTAGTCAAAATCCAAACAGCATCTTCTATCCTTCCACCCTGAGCAATTCCATTTATCAGCCCATTATAAGAAATCGAATCAGGATTAGGCATGAGCTGCAAAAACTTGAAACCAAGTTCAATGTTACCATTGTTTGCACATGCTGCTATAACCGAATTCCAAGAAATAACATCCTTGTCTATAATATCATAAAATACCCTGACAGCCTGTTCAACAAAGCCGCATTTCCCATACAAATCAATCAAGCAATTTGCCACAACAGTGTCATTACTCATCCCTAATTTCACTGTCTTAGAATGAATTGAACTTCCCAGTTTCAACAGGCCTAGTTGGGCACAAGCAGCCATAGCAGACGTGAAAGAGAATGCGTCAGCACAAATCTCTGACCTTTCTAGATTTCCAAAAAGAGACAATGCTTTTCTAAACAGACCACCATGGACATACCCAGAAATCAAAGTGTTCCAAGAAACAACATTTGGTTCAGGAATTTCATCAAACAGATTATGAGCATCATTGAAAGAATGCACTGTAACATAAAACTTGATCAAAGAGGTAGAAACATAAATATTGGAATAATGATACCCAGAACGTAAAGCATAACTGTGAAGCTGTTGTCCAAATTTGTAGCAGAAAATACAAGTAGCAGTTCGAACGAGGTCAACAAGAGCAAAGGCATCTGGTTTCATCTCAACGGTTTCACCTCGGGCCTGGGCTTGGATTTGAGCCCGTCAGAATCTCTCAAATTAAATCCTTATCTTATCTATTTTTAAGGAACAAAATCTAGAATTAGATAAAAAGTGCTTTCAATGTCACCCAATTATTACCACAACCTATAAATAGAAAATTTGAATAACAAAAAAAGATAGAGAGAGAAAGAAAGGGTTTTGTAAAGACACCAACATCATGATGATTATCTGGGCTTGAACAAGAAAATTTATATAATCTAGAATTAAATTAACAATTGAAAAAAAAAATGTGGCAAAATAGATAAAGGAAATTCAAAAAATTGATATAATTAGTTGAATTTGATTGGAAGGAGGAAAAAAATGGGGGTGGTGGAAGATGTAACATTGATTGGAGGGTTGATAGCAGTTCAATTTATCTATGCAGGAAATGCTGAGTTGATGAGTTATTCAATGTCATTAGGAATTAGTCCTCTCACCATTGTTGTTTTTACTTCCATTTCTACATTTCTTATTCTTTTTCCTGCTGCATTTTGTTTTGAAAGGTTTTGTTCTTGATTATGAAAATGTGATTTATTTTATTTTATTTTATTGAGATTGAAAATTTTGAAGATTAATATTATTATAATATGTGTGTATGATGTAGGACTAAGTGGCCCAAGAATTTCAGTTTAAAGTTTATGATGCAGATATGGTTTCTTTCATTTGGAGGGTAAGGTATCTTAGTTATTTACATTATTTTTATGATAAAATCTCTTCTAGTTTAATAAGAAAGTTTTTTGACGAAGAGTTTTGCCGTCTATTGTGGTTTTTTCTGTCTTAAGAGATTAGTTTTATCAGTTGCGTGCAGAGATCTACGGTTTACACCGAACAAAAGAACTATTGATTAAAAATTTTGTTGTCTATTATTGTGCAGATTAGCTTTCCAGTTTTTTTTCTTGAAAGGAATCAATCTAACTTCTCCAGCAATGGGAACTGCTATGCCAAACCTTGCACCAGGTCTTATCTTCATTATCGCATGGACTTTTGGGTAATTTTTATTTCAATAGATTTTGATCATTTTCGCTAACGCTTAAACAAACAAGGAGGAATGAAATATGACAATTCAATTTACATTTAAGCCAAAATTAAGTAACATGCTTAATGCCCTCGAGAAAGTTAGCATAGGCCTTTTAATGATAATACTTTTGCTAATGTATTGGAAATTCTTCTATTTGACAGGTTAGAGAGAGTTAACTTAAGCAACAAGTATAGTAAATTAAAAATCATAGGAACATTGCTATGTGTATTGGGAGCTCTTACAATGAGCATAATGCAAAGCATTTCTGCTCCTGCAACCAAAAAAGAGGTTACACTTCTTCAATCATCATCTGCACCATCAAAGCTTCTCTTTGACACGAAAAAGATAATTGGTTGCATCTATCTAGTGATTTCAGTTTTAATATTGTCAAGCAGTGTTGTCCTACAGGTAACTATTGTAATAATCAAATAATGTAGAGGACACAAAAAATGTACTTGGGTTTCTTTTAGCTCAATAAAAGCTGTTGGCTTTGTAGGCTTTCGCTCTTGGAGGTTTTCCTGCACCAATGTCATTGAGCGCGATAACGTCGTTGTTTGGAGGATTCATGACTGCAGTTTTTCAAAAATTTCAAGGTGACGACCTTAAATCTGGTTTGCAACTCGTGAGTTTGGGAGATATCATAGGCTTCTCCATTCTGGTAATATCTATACTATTTCTTTATTTCTCAAAAAGAGCAACACGATCAATGATTTCCAATTTCGTGGACAACAAAGTAACAAACTCTACCATTGAAAATGCACAGGCAGGTGGAGTGAGTGGAATAAGCCTAAGCTTCAATGCATGGGCACTTAAGAAGAGAGGGCCAGTTTTTGTCTCCATGTTTAGCCCAATTGGAACAGTATGTTCAGTTATTTTCTCAGTCTTCAGTGTTGGAGACACTGTTAATATTGGAAGGTAGGTACTTTATTATTAAAGTTCCTAGCTATTATACAAATTATATTAACTAAATTGTAGAATGTGATATATTAATAATGCATTGAATATTGCAGCATTGGTGGTATGTTCCTTATGTTCAGTGGACTCTACATAGTTCTTTGGGCCAAAGGGAAAGAAGGATATGCAGATTTTGGTGGAGATTTCGCAGAGAGTGAGTTTGATGCAAACAAGCCTCTCTTAAGTTAACGTGTTTTTCAAATGTAATCATCATGATTATCATCATGTCATGAATAAATAGTTATAAGTTTAAAAAGAATGAATGGTGTGCATTTCCGAAGCACTAACACAATTACAAATACGGATACATGTTAAAAACCGAACACACTTTCAATCTGAAGTGTCTATGCTATAGAGATCTCGACAATATGATTTAGAATGTAATGGTGTGTGCAACTGTCACATACATATAAAAATCCTATGTTTTCCACTTCTTTTTGCAGAGATTGAAACAGTTGGTCCATTGGTGTATTGTGACAGAGCAGTAGGAAGAGTACCTGATAAGGAGTAGATTTGAAGTCTCTTTCTTGCTTTTGAAGGAATGAAATGTTATGGAAATGTAGATATTTTTTTCTTTATAAATTTTTACGGTGAGATAGATAGAATAGTTTAATTAGAGGAAGAAAAATTACCACTTTAGGTAGAGTAAATTATCTTGTAATGTTACTCATCTAGCTAACTTTTATTGTTACTTTGAATATCTTTGAATTTCTTCTTTTTCCTTTGTTTTTTCAGTTTTCTCTTTTGTTATTTTTGATTATGTATAAATCGATGGAATGAAATGAAATAAGATGGAACGCAATAAAATACATTCTTTTTCAATCCATCACTTATCTTTAATTTTGTATATTTTGTATGAGAAAAAATAACAATTTTGTTTTAATTTTTATTCAATTATCCAAATAATAGAATAAAATATTTGTTTCATTTTGTTCAAATTCGTTCCATTTTGCTCTATTCGTTTTAAAATATCCAAACATAATATAAATGATTAGGGTAATTAAACGATTATATTACGACTTAAATGAGGTACGGAGAGGACTATAAATAAGTTAAACATATGTCAAATATGGGCGAGCTTGCCATGCCTTTTTATATTCTAAGTGTTGGCTTATGAGGGGGCTGGGAATCTTTCATCTGATGTGGAACTCGTACTCACACTTGATGTATCAATAATGGAAATAATCAAATAATCGGAAATATTTTTCAAGTGGAATACTTTTCCAAACTTGTGCAATTTAAACAGAAACCAACAAAACTAATTTAAGAGCACAATAATAATGGCAGAAAAATTAAATAACAAGAACACCAGATTTTAATGTGGAAAACTTCCCGCAAAGTGAGAGAATAAAATCACTAGACCCAGTCCAGTAAAGTCTTCCTAATTTCACTAGGGAATATCAATTTTGATCATAAACAATAAAGGTGGATAAACTCACTCCAAACAACACATCCACAAATTGGGAATATACCAACACAACTCTAAGAGACGGTAAAACTACTCAACAAGAATATGAGTAAAATTAGCTAAGTGATAGGAACAACATACTGAATTTGTAACTCAAACTGATAAAGTTTGCTACACACCCTTCTATCACTTATATCTTTTATTCTTCACAAAAATCCTTGTGCTCTTCTCGAAAATCCTTGTAAGTTGCTTATTTGTTATTTTGCTTTAGGGAATAAAACAAAATCTTTTTAAATAGATGCAAATAGGTTTGACCCAAATAAAAAAAAACTTAATAAAGTATTTTTTTTTCTTTTTCTATTTTTTTCTTTTTAGAAATAAACGGTGGGTTCCACTTTAGCAGTGAGTCCACCCTTTGAATCTCTCCCTCAAGACACAAGTGGGAAGGAACTGCTCCACCATGCCCACCTTCTTTCTCAAGTTGATCATCTTTGTCGTAGACAAAGTCTTTGTCATCATATTTGAACCATTCTCGTCAGTATGAATCTTTTCAAGTGAAAAGAACTTTGTCTCTATGCATCTCTTATCTAATGATACCGCGCCTCAATCTACTTTGATCTGAAATGAAACGCCGGGTTATTACCAAGATGAATTGCCTTATGGCTGTCACAGAATAACACACACTTCTCTCGTTGAACACTCAACTCTTGTAAGAATTTTTTCATCCACAATTTTTTTTTAAACGCTTTAGTTATTGCAATATAATTAGCCTCAGTAATAGATAAAGTAACATACTTTTGAAATCTTGATTGCCAAGACACTGCTCCCCTAACAAAAGTCATAATGTATTCAAAAGTAGATTTTCTAGAAGCAATATCATTTTCCATATATGTATCTGTGTGTCCATCTAACACAGGATCATCACTCTCAATGCATAAGCACACTCTAGAAGTACCTCTAAGATATATGAGAATCTACTTCCCTGTTTGACAATGATCTTTATCAAGATTAGAGAGAAACCGACTAACAACACCAACAATAGGAGAAATATTCGGTCTTGTACATACCATAACATACATCAAACTACCTACTACAGATACACAGGTAACATTCTTCATATCTTCTGTGTCTTCTTCACTTGTAGCACATTGTTCATAATTCAATTTAAAATGACTAGTAAGTGGAGTACTCACAGGTTTTGAATTGCTCATGTTAAACCTGTCTAACACCTTCTCAATGTAATTATGGTGAGACGACCATAATTTATCTTTCTTTCGGTCACGAGAAATTCTCATGCCAAAAATTTATTGTGAATGACCCAAGTCCTTCATTGCAAAGGACTTGCTTAACTCTTTCTTCAGACTTTAATTTTTCTTAGTGTCATAGACAACAATCAACATATAATATGAGAATAATAAAATTACAATCAGAGAATTTCTTCACAAACACACAATGATCATCAGTAATTTTATCATAAACATTTCTTTCCATGAAAGAATCAAACTTTGTGTCTCATTGTTGTAATACCCCGAATTTTTCAATTAATTTATTTAATTGAATTTAGTTGCCTTTTATTTAATT